GAGACCCGGGTTCGATTCCCGGCAACGGAATTTTTCTTTTTCCTTCCCCTTTGACCTAGGTTTCAATTTATACCCAAAATCATTATAAAGCAAACGGATCCGTTTTCTTTTTCCTTCCCCTTCATACCTTTGACCTACGTTTCAATTTCCCCAAAATCATTATAAAGCAAAAGAAGCCTTCTGTCAAAAATAGTAAGCATGCGAGGTAGTTTAGATTAAAAAAAATTTTACCATATTTTTAACATAGATTTATATTTGATGTATTGACTATATATTGTAAGTTCACCAAAATGTTTCATCTCATTAATAAAGTAAAATAAACCATTTTTAAAATTTAAAATTAAATATTAAAAAATTTATAAAAATTAATTAAACAATAAATAACATATTTTCTCTTTTCTATCTTTCAAAGTTCTTTTTTTTTTGTTTTCCTTTTTTTTATCTCTCTCCAACTCCACTATTGGTTCACCAAAATGGTTCTTAAAAAAGTAAAAAAAAAATTATTTTTTGTTTAATTAGTTATTATAAATTTTTTAATATTTAATTTTAAGTCGTTAAAATTTTTTAATTTTATCTCACACATTTTGATGAAGTAACAATGTATAGAAACTATAGACTGATAGTGCATCAAATAAAAACTATTTTAACATATATATAAAATTATATTCTTATCTAAATTAAGATCGTAGTTATGCATTGTAAATTCCATATTACTCAATATACCTAAAACCGAATACCTCACACTGTTTTAAAGAGTTTGGGACTGGAGCGTGTTGGGTTTTTTAGCTAAATGACAAGACTCCTAGATACTATATCAAATTTTTTGTTTCTTCAGTTTTGTTATTCTTGGTTTGAAATCAGGTAGACCACTATCTTGTCTAACAATTTTTTGTTGTTTCAAACTTCCTATGATTAACTAATAGAGATTAATTTTATTACGTGGGCCATAAAATATTCACTATTTTAGTTAATTTAGAACGAAAATTCCTTTTTTCCCAACTCATTTGCTCCTTCCTGCAACAAAATTTAATAAGTGAAGAAACAATTAACGAGTAAATATAAAACTACTTTATATGAGTTAGTATTATTATTATAACTGTTAAATTTAAATGAATCTCATATGACTTATAATAACAGTATTTAATTTATCAACTAAAATAGTTTAAATTCAACTAAAAATTTTCAATTTTAATATATATAAGAACGACTTACCACAACCTTTTACATTTTGTCAATTGTGGTTTTGGTCATGTAACATGTGACTGTCCTCTCTTGGTCCAATTTGCAATGATATTTTTTAGTTCTTTCCAAAAATGGAGAAAAAGACTACTTACCAAATGGTTTGTTGGAGTAAGTTGTCAAATTCTTTAGACAAAGGCGAACTTATTCTTCTTAACCCTTGAGATAAAGTAAATCTGTTTTGATTGTGTTGTTGAGAGTTTTTTGTTTTTTTATATTAATTTGTATCTTGATGGATGAGAAGATAAATTTAATTAAAAATTCGATATTAACTTTTATTTGAGTAATACTATTTGTGAGCATATATCTCTAAGGGGAGGTATTAGGCAATAATAGATAGATTTTAATGCAATAATTGATGAATCTCTATTGATGTTTTGTTACAATATTGCTTTGTAGCAGATGAATATGCTGAGTTTTGGTGCCCGTATAACTAAATTTGAAATTTCTCAATAGCCAATAGCAAATCTATTTAGCACAAGAATGGAAAGTAAAGAGTGCCAACTGAAATTAAAACCATACTCACCTGCTTTTGAGGAATGAAAGAAGAGCAAAGTAATTCCCTAATGATGCAACACTTACGTAAGGTTTACCCCGTCTGGGTTCTTGTTAAATTGATAACTTCTTTCGAATCTCTTTCGTCTTAGGTAAAGGAGAAATTTGCCAACAAGGTTAAAAAATATTAACATGGACTGTCATTCCAATAGCAAATGAAAGAATTATTACTTTCACAGTGAATAAGCACAATCCTTGTTGTGCTCGTCCGATAAAATTCAAGCTAAGCAAACCGAGCCAATGTCCTATAATTTTGTACTAATATGCCCAGAGAGGTACAAATTAAGCTAGTGTGACCTAAAAAAGATTATGATTTATAGGGTTAGTAACATAAAGTAAATACTCAAGGCAGCAAACCCAAACAAAATTAGGTTGTTGTACAAATTTGCCAACCCAAGTGCTACTCACCATCCAGTGCAGAAACTGTACCCCTTTCTACATATAAACACTTAATTAGGCTGAAGAAAGCCAATTGAGGACCAGGATAAACTAATTAAGCAGTTGCGAATTCAGCTAGCTAGCACATGATCATGATTAATTAAGGAGATACACTAGGTCGTTCGGATAGCAAATTACAGCAAGAGTGCCCAATGTTTCGTCTTGCAAGTGAACGAACAAAAAGAAAAGGTTGAAAACACGTACATAATAAGGTCCTAATAAATGCTTTTCTAATTCGGTAAAACCAAATGAACATCATCTAGAGACATCCAATCCTTTCATGTCACGTGTCCATCGTAATCATAACTCCACCAATCCTAACTTCCCATTGCCTGGCTTCGCAGTCCGTTCTCCAGAAGTAGACCCGTTGACAAAGTTCTTAGCAGCTGCATCAGTGTTGGTGTGAATTGTCGTGCTTCTCCGTTTTACCTCATCAATGAAGGCTTGTATGTTCCTATCAGAGGAACCGCCATCCGCCACGGCTTCCTCCGCTGCTGCCTTCCACTTCAAGGCGTTCTCCTTCATCTCTGCCGCCTTTGTCCCCTGCGTCACTTCCAGCAAGCATTTCTCCACCTCTTCCCTTCGAATTATCCTGTTTTCTGCTGCTCCACGGCACATTCTCACACCGGTCTTGAACACATCAACCAAGAAAACAGTATTGGTCACCTGATCACCCCATTGAGGGAACGCAATAATCGGCACACCAGATGAGAGTGCCTCCATCGTTGAGTTCCAGCCGCAATGCGACACAAAGCAGGAAACCGAGGGGTGAGTTAGCACCTTCTCTTGTGGACTCCATTGCACAATCTTGCCCTTATCACCTACTTTCTCCAAGAAGCCTTCAGGCAAAGTGTGGGTTGGAAGGCCAAGGTTTTTAGGCGGCGGTTTCATGACCCACAAGAATGAGAGACCAGTGTTTAACAGCGCATGAGCTATTTCATCCACTTGTTCCTGTTTCAAGAAAACAATAGAACCAAACGAGATGTATATCACTGATGAGGCTCGTTTTGAGTCGAGCCACTCGATGCAGTCATCGGCTTTGATGATGTCACAACGAACTGTGCTGTTTGATACTTCAGGGTTCTTGAACAGCGGGCCAACAGGCTGTATAGGGCAAAACTTAGACATGTATTCAATGATTTCAGGCTCGAGTCCCTGGAAAGTGTCCATCATTACACAAAAAGGCTTATTAAGGTTCTTAAACTGACCAAGAATGGCCCTCCTCAAGAAAGAGTAAGGAGTTGAAGGATGCAAGAAACTAGGAACTTCATCGTACTTGAGAAGTGGCATGGCGGGCAACTGAACGTCCATTTCAGGATCACTTTCACTAGGAAACGGCGCTAACCCATGATGGTAATGGTAGTATGCGGCAAAACAAGCACAAGATTGCACCCAAAGCATTGCAGAAGGAATGCCGAGGCTTTCAGCAACATCAGATGCCCAAGGAATGAAGGGGTTGTTGATGAAGCAAGACACAGGGCGGTTTTGCTCTGCGTATTTCTTGATCATGCTAGGAATCTCATCTCTGGCCACTAGCGCCAGTTGAGCCATGTATTGGTCAAGGTCTGCTCGTCTTGGATCATCCTCGTCCCAGCCATCCTGGAAGAATTCAAACCGGATAAAGCCATCACCAACTGGGGTTGGCTCGTCCGTGATCATGTTGTTGGCTTTCGTCATCTGTTTTCCAAAGCTTTCGGGCGTAGACAACGTGACAAGCAAGCCCTTTGAAGCAAGGCGCTTGCCAAGTCTAAGAAGAGGATTGACATGGCCTTGGCCAGGAAAAGAAACAAGAAGGACATGAACAAGAGGCTCAGATATCATTGTACCTCTAGTGGGTTTTGCTCACAGGAGAAGGTAGAGGAGTAAGATTAATTCAAAGTAAAGAGAGACAGTACCCGAGTTGAGTACCAAGGAGAAAAAAGTGACAGTACATGTATCATTTTTTGTGCAAACGGGCAATTATTTAAGTGTTGGTCAGCACAACTTGCTCAGTCCAAAACTGACAATTTGGTTTAGAGTCGTAAAGAAACCAAATACTGAGATAAAGAAATTGAGCTTGAATTCGAAGATCATTAACTGACGAAAATGGTTGTGTCAGCTTCGATGTAATAAAATCTATCAGGCTCATGCAATTAATTGCAATTTAGCCATTCATACTTTCATACTTTACAGATATTCTGTTAACAATTAACAACGGGAAGCCCTTCTGTTTTTTTTTTTTTACAAGGAACGCCATCAGCTATCCATTTTAGGTATATTGGCTCATGACGAACGCAATGACTTGAGACTCCCATACTCGAGAAAGCAACTGAGAACGAAACAGATCGATTGCAGCCAGATTCAAAGGTCCATTTCGTGTATGCATTAAATAAATTAGGCGAAAAAATATTAATAAGGAAATTACGACCACCCGCGTACGTATATCCTTTGTATTTTTCCTTCCTTCCATGATTTACAAGGAACAATGTTAATCACAATAAAAGAAAAATAACTTTTCCCAGAAACCTCGACGCAGAGCCTCAACCTAATCAGCTAGGCCACAAAAACCAAATCCCCACAGGCCGGCAGGAATCGACACAATATGTGGTCCAAAAGCTCGCTCACGCATTAAATGAACACAGCCTCATCGGTTGTGACTACAAAAAGGGTATTTGGAGTTTCCAACTTCATATATTAACAAGAGTCGTACACAATCAATTCTCAAAAGAAAGACAGAAAGAATCCTTAAAAAAACTTGAGTTTTAATCGTATTTCTTTTAAGTGATACATTTTTTTATAATAAAATTTTAAAATAAGTAATTATTTAAATTTTTTAATTTTATTTTTGTATATTTAATAGTAATATAAAAATACAATTTTTAATAATATTTGTAGTTTTTATTATTATATTTTATTCATAATACATTTAAAAATTTATATAGTAAAATTATATCTAAACAATATTCTAAAAAATATTATTAAATATATTTTTAATAATACATTTTAAAAATATATTATTTTAAGTCAAAATGAAAAAAGTATATAGAAAGAGTGGTGAGCAATCAATGGCAAGCAAACAAAAATATTTATGAATTTCTGTGGTGTAGATGGTTGATGTTGTGGACTCCTTTGCATTCTGTGGTCCATCCTGAATACATATATATTTGTGTCTTTTTCTTTGCAAGCAATTAACTTCAAGGTAAACATATAGAAGACAATTCAACCGTTAGCCAAGCGTATATAAATAGTCAGTAGTGTTGGCGAAATTCTTCACAGAAACGACACTTTTTCATGCTTTCAAGCTTTCATAACTGATCAAATTTCCTCCCTTGAGGCTATGGGGCAGGTCGAGAGCGATCGTTTTATTTTCTACTGCTGGAATCTGAGTATTGCTGAACGGTTTGGAAAATATTTTAAACACATTAACGGCTTAGTACATATATATAAATATAATACATCCAAAAAAGTCTCTACATCTTCGTATCTAAGTCACACTAACTGGAAGCATGGGCCAGGCAACAACGTGCAAATAATCAAAACTTTTAGGGCCCATTAATTGCATACGACGTTACAAGCCATCAATTACATCTTGTCTGTTGAGAATTGAAAGGGCAATCAAAACAGTACACTGATCTCTTTGCCAATTAAAGAATTTGGGTGTGATTGTCATGATTTTGGATTTCGTTTTCTTATTTGCTTTCCAGTCCTTCTGGCGCTTGCTTGCTGATGTTTAGTTTGTGCTGGCCCTTTCCGTCCGTCTCTTTTTTTTTTGCGGTCATGCATCCGTCTCTTTCCGGACAACCTGTTTCTCTGTCAGAGTAAAAGTTTTCAAACTACCAGTACCAATCAAATAATTATGATTTCCCACAAAGGGTTTTTTTATTATGCTCAAAAAATAAATAAAAGTTTTTTAATGTAAAAATTAACTTATTAATTTATCAAACATATTATTGGTGTATTTTTAAAATAAAAAAATAAGTCCCATAGCGTAAGATAGTTTGGCTATTGAAATTTAGATAAGATTTTTATATAAATAGTTATATCTTTTATGTAAAATGATATGTTAAAAAAAATATTTTTAATCCAAAAATTAAAAAACAATTGAAAAGCACCACACTTCAAAAATTTAAATATCAAAAGTTATTTTTTTATATTTTAACTCAAATGAGATAATTAAAAAACATCACATCTCAAAAATTTAGATATAAAAAAGTTATTTTTTCATACTAGAATTCAAAAATTATATCTTATGAATAAATAATTATCTTTTCATAAAGTAATTATTGAAATAATAACTTTATCAGGAAGATAGTTAAGTGATGAGGGGTCTTGGCCTTCCAAAAAAAATTTTTAATGAATGGTAGAAGATAGTATATTTATTGGGGTTGTGATCTCTCAAAATTTTTAATATTTTGATTGTTTTTAATCAAGTTGGACAAAATTACCCGTAATGACATTACAAGTCATTATACATGTTACACACCATGTTGAAGAAATGTTATTATTACACGTCATGTACAAAATAAGTTATACGCCATAGTTAAAAAAAGTTGTTACACACCATGTTGAAAAAAAAATTATTGTTATACGTCATGTACAAAAATATGTTATATGTCATAGTTAAAAAAAGTTATTACACGCTATGTTAAAAAAAAAATTTCTTGTTACATGTTATATATAAAACATGTTATAGTCATGTTGAAAAAATGTTATTGTTAAATGCCATATTGAAAAAATTATTATTATTACACGCCTTGTTAAAAAAATAATTTTGTTTCACTTTAATGTTTAAAATGTTGTATTTCTGAACTAAAACTTCAAATCCTCTCAATTCTCTTCATTTCTTTTTTTTAACAATTTGACACCGATTAAAATGTTTCTAACATGAAACTAAAACACAAATTTTTTTATTTAAAATACCTATATTGACTAAAAATAAAAAAAAATTCCTTTGAAACTCTTAGTTTATAAACTTCAAATTCTTGAGTTTTATTGGTATTTAGGTCCCAAATTGACTCAATTAAAAATCGTTTCACACAGTTATAATCATTTCTATCATTTTAATTTCATCCAAAATACCTAAAAATTAAAATTTTTAAATAACCACTCACCTTATGCACATCAAAACCATCACCTGGCATATTAAAAGTGCAGAAGAAAGAAATCAGGAGCATAGTAAACTAATACTGAAGAGAGAAATCAATAGAATTAAAGAAAGATAGATGATGAGAGAGAAAATAAAAATACAGATGGAGAGAAATTGTGAAAAATAGTTTAATTTGAAATAATTTTAAAGATATTTTTATCAAATCATAACTAAATATGATTAAAACAATTAAATTTATTTTGTTAATTTTAATAATTATTTTTAAAATGTTCTTATCAAGGAGAGTTATTTCTTATAATTTTCTCTACAATTAATATATACAATGACACAATATCATTATCTTGTGTCCTACAATAATTAATTAATGCAACATTATAATATCGAACCAGAACAATCAAATTGAAACAGCACGCACCTCTCTTCTTCGTGAAACATCATAATCACCTCCGAGAGACCACCCTAGTTCAAGAACTCCCAACAATCTCATTCACGAGCAACTCTATATTCCGATCTGAGGAGCCCCCGGTCGCCATTGCCTCACGGGCTGCCTGCTTCAATACTGCAGCATTTTTCTGGAACTCTTCAGATTTTGGTCCTCTAAGAATTTGCTTTATACAGTCCTCCACGTCTTTATTGCTGATAAGTCCATCAGCGCCAGGTTGGAGTCTAAGACCAACCTTGAGACCATCGACAATAAGCTTGGCATTTGTTGGCTGGTCAGTCCACTGAGGATATGCAATCACTGGCACGCCTGCTGCCAACGTTTCTAACATGGAATTCCATCCGCAGTGTGTCATAAAACATGCGATTGATGGGTGGGCTAAAACTTTTGTTTGTGGACTCCATGGGACGATAAGCCCTTGATTTTTGGTTTCTTCTTCGAACCCTATGGGTAGCTCGCCTGCACCATCAGCTGATGGGAATTCTGGTCGCTTCACCACCCACAAAAATGGATGGTTGGTGTTCTTGAGCGCAGTTGCTATTGCTTCCATTAGTTTGACTGGCAAGGCTATTATGCTACCAAATGATACGTATAAAACTGAAGCAGGTTGTTGATTGTTTAGCCACTCTAAGGAGGTTTCGTCTGGTTTCCACATCTCGATACCAGCATCAAGACTCTGGTCTTCACCAAGCAGCGAAGGAGGCACCAATGGACCAACTGGTCGTATTGGACAAAGCTCAGCCATAGAATCAATGACTTCTTTCTCTAGCTCGAAGAATGAATTAGCCAACACCCATTTGTGCCTCTTCATGTTTTGAAACATATCGGACAATAACCGAGGGAAACTACGAAATGGGTTTGTTGGCAGAACAAACGAAGGCAAGTCGTGGCTGTGCAACAAAGGCAAACCTGGCAATTCGAGACCCATGTCAGGGTTTGTTAAGGTAGGAAATGGATTTAGCTTATTGTAAAAGCTGTAGTAAATAGCATAGAGTGAACAAGGTTGGATCCAAAGCATGGCACAAGGGACTCTATTTTCCAAGGCTGCGTCGACAACCCATGAAACAAACGGATTGCTAATGATGCAAGAGAGTTTCTTGTCGGTGTCGTGGTAATATTCTTTAATAAGGTTCGAGAGCTTAACTGGTCCAATTTTGGCTAGGTATTCCATGTAGTGGTCTAAGTTGTTGGAGCGGTCATAGTCTAGGCGAAATCCGTCGGGGAAAAAGAGAAGTCGAATTCCGGAGATGAAGTTGATGCCGGTGGTGCTGCTGATAGCGGAGGCTTTAAGCATTCGCTGGCCGCCGAACTCGGTCGTGGCAAGCGTGACATGAAGGCCTTTTTCAACCAGGCGTTTGCCTAGCCTGAGCATGGGGTTAATGTGACCCTGCGATGATAATGTCACCATGAGTACATGGGTTTCTTGTTTGCTACCTTCCTTAAACGCCATGGATGGATAGATACACACGCCAATCAGGCTCTAGCGAGAGAAAAAGATAAGGCTCTAGCCTCCAAGGCAAGGAGCGGTTGAACTTGTAGAATCTAAGAATAGGATACAAGCTATTGGTTGTCAAAAAAAAAAGGCAGTTACAATTCTTTTTTTGCTCAAGCACCTTTTTAATTTCACTTTTATTTTAGTTTTTATTTGATTTTATAAGTTGATAGACAATATTTGAACTTTGTAAACCAAAGACATTGACTAAGTGAATCCTTATTTAAGTTCTTAAGCGTTTTTTTTATAATTGGAAAAAAAAAATTTAAATCTTACTATTTAAGTATGAATAATGTATCAGTTAATTAGTCAAATATTCGGGTGTGAGTTTTTAAGTTTGAAGGTGTTTAATTAATTAAAAATAAAATCAATTAAACATTAAATTAAGAAAAGAAAAGAAAAAGTCGAGTCAATTGCTGCCGAAGCTTCCTGTTCACTACCAATGAGAGCATCGACCTCTCTTATAAAATTAGGAGAGGAGCAAACAGTTTCTAATTGAATATTGTACTTATGTTGTACATGACATGCATGACACTGCAGGTACCATGTCCGGCTGTTGTACTTGTAGATTCGTTTTAGAAAAACCAAATTAGGACCCAGAATTTTTAATTGGATATAAGGGGATATACATTAATTAATGGACAAAATACTTAAAAAATTCTCTGTATCTATACATTTTATTTAATTTAATTCTTGTATTCAAAATCGTAACATTCTAATATTTTAATTTTAGAAATTATTTCAATTTAGTACTTCTCTTTAACGGCATCCAATTTTATCATTAAAAGGATGATATCAGCAGTGATATCAATGCTGACATAGCACCTTTTAATGACGTGGCATTAACATGCTAACATATAAGTGCCACATGGTAGATTTAAAATTTTTTTTAAATACTTTTTTGTATTACGTCATAGGGACTAAATTGAACAAAAATATATAATATAAGTATTAAATTGAACAAAATTTAAATGCTGAGAGATTAAATTGAAAAAAATATTTAAAAAATGTAAATCTTTAAGTAGAATTTAAAATGTAAATTTTTTTTAAAATTTTTTTTTTGAAAGGAGAATGCAAACTTAATTTTTGTTAAAAAAAATAAATTAATGTATATATTCTAGAATCAAATAATCAAGTATGAAAATTTTTATATATTTTTAACACTATAAATTTTTTACACTTAAATATTTGGCTTATTAATTATCTACTTAAAGATTTACTTTTTTAAAATATTTTTTAAATTTAGTCCTTCTACATCTCAATTTTATTCAATTTAATCCCTATATGTTATATTTTTGTTTAATTTAGCCCAAACAACATGACAAAAAAATTTTTTTTTAAAAATTTTAGATCTACCACGTGATACTGACATGTCAGCATTTCAGTGTCATGCTAGTATTGCCATGTTATCATAGTAGTGTCACGTGACAGTGTCACACCATCACATCGGTGTCACGTGACATGTCACATCATCGTATATGTGTTATGTCATCAAAATGTATCACATTAGTGCTGATGTTAGTGCTAACGTCATCTTTTTAACGGTAAAATTAGAAGTCGTTAAGAGAAGAGATTAAATTGAAAGCAATTTTTAAAATGAAAAGATTAAAATATTATAATTTTAAGCATAAAAATTAAATTAAATAAAATACATAAATATAAAGACTTTTCAAGTATTTTGAGCATTAATTAATCCAAGATAAAAGAAGTCATTGAAGTTTAACAGGCATTAGCCCATTTAAATCACCCATCGGCTTGCTCCATGGGCTATGCCCAAAATGTTCCCAGACTGAAATCTTGGCCCATGTCAGGTTAATTAACGGGATCAAATTATAACTAGGGCCGCATCTGGTGGCACCTGGGTACCCGGTCCTGACTCCTAGGATATGCATTTTGTAAGCTCAGAGCAGCGTGAACTAAGTTGCTGGCACCAGATATTTAAACCATTAGACAGATCATAATGCAGCACCATGATTTGTTCAACAGCATATGGTAAGCTACTGTAAAACAGGATGACTAATCGTTGCAAGAATTAGTTATGGAAAACAGAAGTAAAGGAGGTAAACATGTTCAATGATACATTAAGACACATGAATATTACAAGAGGTTTCGCCACAAGGGCATATATATATATTATAGCACAATCATCACCATTGAAGAGCAATTAGTGCCAATAACTTTGGCCTTTTCAAGAAGAAAAATGCAATGTAATTAACTAAGACAATCTGCTTTCCTTAATTCCTCAAACACGTAATTACTATCATCAGACGTCGTACACCAACACTTTCGTCAAATATATGCACGTACTTATGACTAAACAACCTAAGAAAGAGGAAGGGAAAAAATGGAGGAGGAGAAAAAGAAATGAAACAATATTGCATTCACCTATTATTGCCACAGATTTACTTATGTCCCTCACCAGGGCCAGGACCAGAGTTCTCAAGTCCAATAGTTTGAAGATTTTTGTATCTGTGTCCCACACCCGGGCTTGGCCCTGAAACCTTCACAGCACGAAGAGACAACCCTCTCAATGTGGCCTCATTAATCTTTTTACCAGCCTTGCTGTACTGCAACTTTGAGTCCTTCAATGCCCTCGCCTCTGTTGCAGACAGCATAGAACTCAACAAGAGAGAAAGAAGAAGAAAAAAGAGAATGAAGAATCTTTTGCCCATGTTTAATCTGCTCACCAGTTAATGTTCGTTGATATATGTTAGTTTCAACAAAGACTGATTGCATAGAAGAGTAGGACTCTGAGGTTCTATTTATAGTAGTATTTAAGATGAAATTGTCATTTAATATTACTGGTGGGCATGTTTGACTAGGAGGCTTTGCAGTGTGACTATCCCCTGTTCAAAATCATGTGTCAATTTGAATTTGTTGAGATGCCGCCTCTTAGGTTCAATGCCAGGAAACCAAGAAGGCAGGTTCATCAGGGGATGAGATTTTGAGATTTTTGAAGGCAAAAGTAGAAGTTTGGTCTGCAACAATGACAGAAATGAATAAGTCAAAATGAGACTTTGTTGGGCTCAAAATCAAATTATTACGCACAAATTCCGTGCCCCGGTATCCCACAGGTGGCAACTGTCAGTCTCTGCCGCAAGATTTACAGGGTCTCTGCTTTTTTTGGCCATGGTGACACCAGGGTGTGTGCAACCAGGAGAAGATATAATTGAAACATTGAAAACATCATGAAACTGAATGGCTTCATCGATTCCAAAAAAATAAATTCCACAAATTTTATGACCAGTAAAATTTCTAACTTCTCTTTGAGTTGCTTGAATATAGGCACTTTAGCCTAGCTCATTCCTGACCATATGAACTTCCAACAAAAGGTATAAATAACAAGGTTTTAATTAACACAATCAGAAATCTTCAATATCTGTCAAGTGTCAAGATTACCTCCAACTTCTCCGGTTATTGATAAAAGCAGTTTGTTCATGGGTGTGGTGTTTGCGGGTGTGTGTAGACTTACAGACATGTTCGTTTTGCAGACTCTAGTTATAGCCAAAAACTAAGAAATGGTGCTTTCAATCACGACCGCTTCGTTGCTTTACAGTGATGATGCCCGTAATCATATTTACAGAAGAATTTCTGAAGGCGAAAGGGAAAGATCGTTACGAAGATCTTTTGGTTCTGAGAATGTTTATCAAGATCCAAAATCCTTCAAACAATGAAATTAACCTTGATTCACCACCAACGATCAAAGGGAATATGCAACAGTAACCACACTAATGTTTTCGGTTAAAAACCCACTTTCTGAGTTGAAAAAGAAACGTCCCAAATAATTGTGCCAATAGAACCTATAGGCAGATTCGGGTGGTGGACCACTTCACTAGTGAAAAACTCTTAAAGACCCCACAAAAAACAATGTTTGCTCTTCCAGCTGTTCACCCCTCCTGGATGTTTGGCTTTTTTACAGTCCAATTCCAAATTCTTCTTTTAACAGCCTGAAACTGTTAGATTTGATGGATCTCAATCACCCATCAGCGGAAAAGGTTGGCACAAAAGGTGGACCTAGTGGCTCCTTGTGAAAAGGAAAGTAGGCCATTGCTCCTTGGTCCTTACTCCGTAGCCCACAACTTTAACTAAGCTTTCAAACTTACATGCAGTTTTCTAGTTTGGGGCCACAATTTAGTCTATGAAATTGAAATGCAACTAGCTTTTCAGAGTTAGAATCAGAATGGAGATTGTTCTTCTGCCCACAGACATGCAGAGGATCACTTCTCTCCCATTGGTGAACACGGCCGTTGGTCGGTTGTGATGAAGATTGTGCCAACGTGGATCTCGCAAAGAGGGTTACTGTGATAGGGAAGCTTGCAAATAAGTAAAAAGATGTATAGAAGATGATAAAAGAGAAAATTTATTATGTGATTTTTAAAGTAATTAGGTATAATAAGATTTATTTTCGAGTAGAAGGTAACAGAGAAGAGGCATACGTGAAAAGATATAAGAAAAAAATTATACGTGATCAAAAACAACAGAAAAAGCTGTATGTAAATAGGTATAAGAAAAAAATATGTATATGAATAGGTATACGAAAACAATGTAAAAAGGTGAAATACTTGTATTTCAAAAAAAATTAAAAAAAAGTTTTTTTAACTATTTTTATATCTAAACCATCAAACTAAACTCTTTGAAATATCTCAAGATGAAAGTAATTCATGAATCTTATTACTTATTTTGAGTTACTTTTATTGTCATTCACGTGAAATAATTATTCTGTACAAAACAACTGTTCTACTTGTATTAATTGTTTCATATGGAGTGGTACTTCACTTATTCTAATTGTTTTGTGTAAAATAATGCTTAACTTGTTCTAATTATTCTACAAGAAGTAGCACTTGTAATTCACTTGTTTTAGTTGTTTTGCATAGAATAATGTTTCACTTGTAATAATTATTCACAATATTCTCTATATAATATTGTACTATAAAATAATTTATTAAAAAATATATATTAATCAAAATTAAGTATCTGCGAACCTAAAACTACCAAGGATTTCATTAGTCTCATATTATTAATAGTGATGGGCGAGCTATTGACTGTCCAAGCCCGGCAAAACTCCTATCTTCATGTGATTGAGCTTTTTCTAATGTAAAACCAACAGCGTGAAATTACCTTTTATGTATGTATAAGGGAAATTATTAGATCTATTAATCATTAAAAATGCAAAGAAATAAAATTTTTGATTATTCGAAGATTATGCTTGAATCATTATTTGTATTATTCCACACGCATCAAGCCTATTATAACACTAGTTTGGGCAAGCAACACAATGTCTAGGCCAAGCGGCCAACTCACATATATCTACTATTTTCACACAAGATTCTTTAAAAATATACCTAATCAATCAGGAACAATAATAAAAAAAAAAAAAGAACTTTTTGAATGTCAATGGGTATTCTTATATCATATTAAATTTTAAAAAATTTTAATTTAAAATTAATTGACGTGAAGTTTATGATAATATAATGAACATCATATATCAACAACTTTTATCAATTATTAGGATAATTTGCAACTGCGGGGCTTCTCATAAACAGTAGATTGTGCATTGACCTAACATGAATCTGGTTTGACATCTAATTCTGGCAAGGGTCGTCGCTTCCTGATATTTTCCATGTTAAGTTCTCGTCATCCATCGAAATTGGAATCAATCCACTACCTTACATTGCCAAGAAACCCACGGCAATGGGATCTTTGCTGATATTGATTGAAATAACTGTTGGCTTGACAACTTAAAACATCGCCAATACTTTGTGAAAACGACTCAAAATTTCTATATTATACTGTTAAGATAAAAGAACGAAATTTGTTTGCCAGAACTTACGTAGAAGTTAAACCAAAGTAGGATTGTATCACTTTCAAGAGAAATCCGAGGTTGGTTAAGTGATCTGCAATGTAGCATTGAACTTATCAGGAATTTCTGGACTCTTTTAAGTCTAGTCATCAAGTCCGAGATATGACTAATGTTACTGCACGTGATCAGGCTCATAAATCCATAGCAGCACATACTAATAACGTGAGATTGAAGGATATGCTACCGATAGAGGTCACAACCGGGAGGAAAGAGCATTGTGGCTTGAGCAACATTACCTATAAGTCACTGAAATTCATGATCCCAATGACACAATTGGAGAAATTTTGCATCAAAATCCCTGGGATTTTTTTGGTTTTTTACTATTAAGTCAAACAAATTCGGAATCCATCGTTTTGGGATGGAAGAAATATTATGGGGAAATGGGAACCAAACCCTCTTTTGGCCTTTTGTGGAAAAATTTAGAATTTCCTTTTGGTAATTAAATTCTAAAAGGCACGGAGCAACTCATTTTCATCGACTGTACCAAACAATATTTGTTCTATATAGTTGAACATGATACGTAAAGGATCTTTAAACTTGGGTCAATGGAAGGCAAGAAGGGAAAAGAAAGAAATTCAAAGGGTGTGGGGGGGATGCATCTAGATAAAGAGAAAGTCTAGAAGTCTGAGAAATTTGGTTTGGATGCTGCTGATAAACAGTATTTTGATAAGCGTATTAATTATAATATTATTATTATAAAAAGAACATTTAAAATCGTTATTCATAAATGTTAATTTTAATGGACTTACAAGTTTTGGTATAATTTATGGTTCACCTAATTATAATATTGAATAAATTAATATAAACACGATTTAGTGTGCTTATGTTTGGTGTGTTTAACCTAATAAATGTTAATTTTTTTCAATTACTGTGTGACAATATTTGATTCATTATCTGTGTATAAACATCCAAGTATCATCACATTACTTAATTTGATTCCCATTCTTTGGTTTCCTCAAACTGGCCCAAAATTTCTGGCAACTTGGAATTCTTTTTAGGTGGAAAAACTAAAACTCACATGTTGTTTGGACTAAGCAATTCATGGCACTCATCCAAGTAGTATAAAAGACTTAAAACTAGTTTTTGTTGTATGATATTCATGCAAAACCAGCCAACTCTTCTTTCTAGCGACAGATGGACGGACAAGGACAAGTACGTGCGATGAATGCTGTTGCTTGTCTCCTCCTCTTCTTGAGCATTCTTGTCATCTCCAAAACTGATGCTCAATCGCTGAGAGGACTCAGGTTTTCAAGCTCCCACGGAGGAACGGAGGGGGGCTCGTCTATTCAGACCATGCAGCGATCTGGGCCAAGCCCGAGTGGTCCAGGACATAAATCTAGTGAATCACCGAGTCTGGGTTCTGCCCAAGGCCCAGGTCCGCGCCGGGAAGAGGGATTTCTCCATTTCAGCCGCGTGCACCACTAGCCTGTTGCACTGTTGATTCAACTCCTTCATCCTCCTTTTTCATTTTGTCTATTTGACGTTCTTGAATCCAATACTTGATGTTGTTCAGAACTTTGTTAAATATAGTTAGATATATTTAGGAAGGGGGTAGCTATATATATGTTACTTAAAGATTTTGGGCATTAATATTCTGCCCCCTATGTAAGCAAATATAAAATAAAATAAATATTGTAATCAATATTTCCTTGAGAATAATATCATATCGTATGCAAAGCAATTATCTTGCCTTCCTTCTTCAATTTTTGTACACATTATATTTGTATTTCTCTCATTGCTTTTCATAGTAGTGATCACTGTTACAGTATTAACCTGTTCTCTCTCTCTCTCTCTCTCTCTCTCAATATCAACCGAATACATACTAGGTTTTCCCCCTGTATTAATTCTTTGAAATTATCATATTAATCAAAGTATCCTGTGTCAGCTCCTCATAGTTTCATCAAAGCAACCTCCAGGTTTGCAAATTGTCTATGTTTAAGCCAGTCCATATATTATAAATTATTAGTACATTGTAATTGATTTAAACTTGTAAAATTTCATGTATATATATATTTGTACAGTTCTAACAATGCATTAGTAACATTAGTAGGATTGTGACTATTTTACTATTAAAACATCAGATTTTTTCTTAAAAACTATGTAATACTGGCATTTCTTTTGTAACTCGTGAATTTATTGTTTATATTGTTAAATTAACTAGAAATAAAATCTTAAAAAGGTGGCCCAAACTACTGAGAAGGCTGAGCAACCAATTGGGCTAAAGGTCAGTCCAGTGCCACATAGCCTACATTTAGCGGGAGCCCAACTTAGAATTTACCAATTCAATTAAAACTTTAAAGCCCTCCTTTCCATAAACCCAAAACCCCAAAGTCCTCCCAAGCCGAAAGATACGGGCGATGTTGGTGGGGCCCAATTTGTTCCGCCGCCTCCTACGATCTTCACAACCACCCGCCCCACACGGCGGCAATGGACTTATTGTATCAGCCTTCCACCAGCTCCGATATCACTACAGTACAACCACCGAGTTGTCAGCCGAACACTTAAAGGATGGCGGAAATAGTGAAAAGAAGAAGAAAAACAAATGGTTCACGCTGCCCCCATTTACTAAAACCGTCCACGCCTCTGTATTGGGAGCCAAACTAGCCGGAAAACCACATTCGAAAGCCGCCAATGAAACGACGGTGGTCAAGTGGGTAATGAGATGCTGCCCGGAGCTGCCCAAAAGCCTAGTACAAAAGCTATTTCGCTTAAGACAGGTTTGGTTTATATCATATTTAAGCCTTTAATCATATGTGAATATTTTTCTTTTAATAATTAAAGTAGATAACTTTTTAATTCATTTACACAGGTTCGAAGAGAATCCCATGTCCTGGAAGTTGCTGATGATGGTTGCCAAGTGCAAAAAGTTCAACTTAAAAGGGTACTTTTATTTGAAGTTGCTTCATTTTCATGCGTTGAGAAGGGTTTTTCCCCTGATGTTTGAAATTCTTGGAAAGGTGGGGGCAAAGGATGCATTGAACATTGGAGATAGAATTTTTCTTCCTGTTAGTGTCAGAGAGTTTCGAGAGGAGAAACAAGAAAGTGGCTGCACTGAAGAAGAATTGAATTTTATCCAAAGTCTGGAGCTTTATAAGGTTCTTAACCTAAACTGCCTAGGTTGGTATAGTGGATTGAAGCTATCTCATATTCTTATTTCTAACTTACGATCCAGCATCCAATTTGATGTTAGGATCCTGCCATTATTGTTCTCAATAAACCTCCGGGGATGCCAGTTCAAGTAAGCCATCAGATTTTTTATTTGTTGCCCCTCTTTGTATTTCTCATTGTTTTTATATAACTGGCTACGTTATTGTACTTTAAACAGGGTGGTATTGGAATCAAATGGAGTTTAGATAAACTGGCAGCAGCTTGTTTATGTTTTGATTACTCAGAACCACCTCGGCTGGTGAGTGAACATAACTGAGCTTTGTTACCTGCATATTTCTAAATCCGATTTGTACATGTGTTGGTCAAATCAAGTTGCAAGGAAGACACCAATGGGACCTCAAATTCACCAGATTTTATTTCATACTGCTTGAAAGTAGTTGGATAATAAATTTGACTAATGCATTTTATAAGGCTACTTACATATTTGGTTAATTTTAGAATCCTTTTTCTTGCCATGGACATGTTTTGCATTTATTAGGTGCACAGACTTGACAGAGATAGCAGTGGCATATTGGTGATGGGGAGAACACAAATGAGTGCAACAATTCTTCATTCTGTATTTCGTGAGGAAACAATTGATGCATCAAAAGATGTAACGTTCTTTATGTCTATACTGGCTTTCTGTTAGAAGTCTTAAATAATCAGTAGAAATGCAATGTCATTAGTTCACTTGTTGCTAAATTTAGTCTGTTCTAGTTTAAGGATGTTGACAATGAGAAAAGAATCTTGCAAAAGAGGTATTGGGCACTTGTCATTGGGTCTCCAAGATGGCCCAAGGGAATGATTGTAGCTCCACTTCGGAAGGTTAGAATTTTTTTATTCTAACTGTTGTTTATAGAATTCCTTTTATTTTAGACCTACCTTTTAAACAAAAAAGGTTGTCCTCTTGCTCCAGCTATTAAATCATGCTTTGACACTTAAAAAACTATATGCAGGTGCCAATAGACAATGTCCTAATCACAGTTCACATGTGTTATATTTGCTGAACATTTCTTGGTTTTTGCTGATCATAGGTGGTGGTGGATGATGGAAAATCTGATCGAATCACCGTCTTTGACAATACCCAGATTGTGTCCTCTCAGCGTGCAATAACAGAGTATCGAGTCATTAAAACAACATCTCATGGTAACATCACTGTGACATTTATTTCATGCAATGATATAGAATTTGAGACTAGGAACAAAGTGTTGTCCTGCTTATGCTATTTATCATATTTAAAATTTTGACCTCATGCAAAATACATGTTTAAGCATACATGCAGATACAAACATACACATGCTGACATGCATATTTATGCCACTACAATGATCATTTTAAATGGTGAATTTTACTTCTACTATCTCTTAAAACCTGTTAATCATTTTACATTTTGGGTAGACAGATACATGTCCGTACCAACATTGACCTGCCTTCATATTGTATACAATCTTGCAGTGATATTCCTGATAAATTCCACGGGTGCAAATTAATAATATTGTTGAAGCAATGTGCCACTATTCATCTCTGTTACATGCTGATTTCAATGGAGAATTTATTCACAAGTGCTAGGTCTCTTTTCAAAGTTGGTATATAAAATGCAAATTGGAAATTTGGGGACACATTCCTTTACCTTCCTATATCTTTACCCTATCCTTCTATAAGAGAAGCTTATTAAGCTTCATTTAGCTTATCACTCTCTCTCATGCCATATACATGCAAGCAAGCTTGTTTGGTGCTGAAGGAAAGGATTGTGATTTCTGAGTTATGAGAAATGCAGTTGACCATCTAAAGAAACGTTTTACTTGAAGGACTTGTCGCCATTTACTTCAGTTGTTTAAGTTTTCATTGTGCTTATCTTTGTGCATTTTGCCTCATACAATATACTAAATGAAATATTGTTTAACTTATTGCATATCTATGAGCGTTCTCCCAGTTTCAAAGTAATTGTTGTTTTTTCTATCAAATGCAACTCTGGCCTTGCATGCACCTCTTATGCTATTGATATCAATGCAGGCTACACATGGTTAGAGCTGTCTCCGCTCACTGGTAGAAAGCACCAAGTATGTATCAGAGCTATATTCTGTCATTATTTTTGCTACTTTTTTCTCTTTCCTAAATCACATTCCATTCTGAAAATCCTTTTCTACAATATGCTTGTACTGCAGCTTCGAGTACATTGTGCAGAGGTATTGGGAACACCAATTGTTGGAGACTACAAATATGGGTGGCAAGCTCATAGAAGGTGGCAACATTTGCCTGAGGCTGATCTTAAAAAGAACTCAAATGATAAGTGTCCAGAGACAAACATGCTTCCCTTTGGCCTTAACATGGACAGCGGAAGTGTCTCTGAGAAGCGCCCTCGGCTACACCTTCACTGTAGGGAAATGATCTTTCCAAATGTCTCTCAAGCATTGCAAAATCTGCAATTGTCTACAGATCATGATCTTTCAAAACTCAAAAGGCTCGAAGTAGTTGCTCCATTGCCTTCATACATGCAAAAAAGTTGGGATATCATGAATTCTTGACCTACAGTAGGGAACTTCCAAGTTTCCAAGTTTGCAATCGATTGTTAATTACTAGAAATTTGCTCCTACATTGATAGGAGAGAGAAAAAATTTTTTATTGAATGAGTATACTTTTTAATTCCATTTTTTCAAAACAAAAATGTTTACTATCTTTTTGTATGTTTAAATACATGCAAATATTGAATTATTGATGCAATAAAGTGTAAAAAAGAAAAAAGAGTTAATGCAATAAAATTTTGTAAATCAGGCGGTTTTAGTTAGGAGAATAAGGTAATTCAAATACTCTTACTATTGAGCTGACTATTGAATAAAGCTCAAGTGCATCATACTATTTTGTTTTAAAGAAACACAGTGTGAGGTGTCTCTATCAGCATTACGTGTTCGTTTCTAACTCTAGTTGCTACAAAATTTCAACGAGCAAGACAAAAAGCCTGCTTGACAATAGTTATTATATCATTTCTGCATATGTTTTCACTGTTTTGGGTTATTTGACCTACCGTGAGGGATCTTGATTCTTCAAGATGATGCAGTTCAATCATAGCTTATATTGAAAGATGGTTCTTCATCTCTGCTCCTCCATTCCCCATTGAGGTAGTTGAATAGCACCTCGTTGTTGTGGAATCAGAATTCAGTTCCACGAGGTAGTTAAATAGCACCTCGTTATGGGGCTTGAAATTCACTTCATTTTTATATAAAATTATTTTCCCCAGTCTCTATCTCGTCCCTAACCTCAAATTATTAATGGCTTCAGTGTAAAGATAATGAATGATTGCACTGACTAAGAAAAGATTGAATAAGTTGGTACTGATGTATAATTTTTTCTTTAAAGGACACTGACAGATAATTTTAAACAAAAATTTCAATATATATATATAGATATATGGATAAAAACAGATGCGAAGAAGCGAAGAATATAAATTTTAGAATTACTAGTTACAATGCTATTTTGTTAGATAAGTGGGTCCTAATCACTAGGTCAAGATACGTGATCCAAACAAACATATGAACAGTATGTAAACTGGCTCCTTCATAAAACATCACTTATTTTCAACTAGTTTCCAATCTTCAACGTCATTGGTTATTTAGATGATTATCATGTCTCCTCCGGAACAGGACCTAGGTTTTTTAAGTATTTTCAATTTAATCATATATACCTACAGAGTATTGCATTGTTATCTGATAATTCATTACTTTGATTGATCCTCCAAACTGTGCTGATTGCAGTGCCAATACTGATAAATGGTTGAAAAACATCAGCCACTCGAAAATTCCCTGTATGCCCAAGACAGTGACTCTGTGACAGAATGACTGGCGGCTATATATGGTCCAAGAAATTATAAATACCCTCATTCTGTTAACTATAAAGACCTGTAAGCTAGATTGGCAGTGAGTCATTCTAACATTTTTGCATAAAAACAAAGGCATGAAAACATGTTTAGGTCGTCAAGCGGTTGGTGGAGGGTGCTCTCATGACTTAGTACCTCTTTAACCAGGGGAAAAAAAAATAGGGCTGCATTGGATCGTTGACCAGTATTGGGTCGTTGACCTTGTATCAGTATGGATCGAAAAGTACAATTTTTAGGCAATTTTTTTGTTGTTATTATCATTATTTGTTGGTAAATCCATGATTTGTTGGTAAGTCCATTGGACACTTGACTCCGTTTTTATATATTGCCACTAGCTGATGATGATAATCTTTCCAAATTGTCAATGTCGCTTCCCACATACATAACCAAAAAACGAAGATACGCCAGCCTTTCTAAACTCTAATCTTCATAGCTTAATCCATTTGCTGAATATATAAACGTTACAAGTACCAATTAATAATCCTAACAACGTTTTTTTCAAGTGCGATCATAACATTTCTTATTTCAGAGGAAATCGACAAGCAAAAGAAACTAAATTTTTTAGATCTTGCAAAGTTGTTGGGTAACACAAGAATATTGGATCTGTTCATTGACAGGCTATCATGATTAGTTGCTTGCTTCAATGTCTGTGGATCCCATTCCTTTACATCCATTCGAATCGCCATAACAACGGGCCAGCAGACTGCCCTTCAAGGGGAAGTAGTGATGAATGTGATGAACAGGGATATGTGAAAGACGTGCCCGAATGGTGTGAATGAAAGGTTTGGTCAGACTGTTGGGTTCAGGAAAAAGGAAAGTTGAAACGTTGCAATCACTAGAAATTCAGGCTTTTCCATACTGCTACGGCGGATTAGCATGTCCTTCCCCAGACATTAGACCTTCCCCTCTACTCAAGCAAATAACCTAACCTTTTACTACAATTACCAGTGCTCAACAACAGGTTCCATCGAGTTGCAGAGTTTTTCAATCATTTAAGATGCTTGTAAACATCGGCCAGTTGATACATGCATTTACCAGCTATAATCGTTATGATTTTTCTTGTTTCTCTTTGAATTTAATTTTTGTGTATATTAGGGATGGAGCCTTTGTTTTTCGGCTTCCTAATTATTACAAGTAAATCCATTCAACATCAACAAGAATTAAGGGAATGTGGCGGCAGATAAGATTTTTTTTTAATTAAAAAATTTATTTTTTTAAAATAAAAAATTATACATCAATTAATAAAATAAATATTCTTGTGCAGTCACAAAGTTGGAGTTGAACAAAGTACGTCAATGATGATTGTAGTTTTCTTAACAAAACTGTCAAAGAGAGTAGGTGACCTGACCAGAAAGATCAAAAGCAAAACCTTACAATAGAGCCCAATACCCAGGAACGTCATCCTAGAATAAATAACAAGTGGACCAGTCCGGGGGTTGTTGAAGCTTAAGTCTTCCATATTTGGTGTAGAGGAAATTAGCCACACATTCGCATATGACCCACAAGGAAACTTATCTTCCAATCAAGGATGATCCCAGCTCATTATTTGAAAAAAAATAAAATCGGATAATTAAAATAAAACATTGAATAAAATTTCCTTAATTGCAAATAATCTTTAAAAGAATATACTATCATATCTCAATGTGTTCCTCAGATTTCCTTTTTTTTTTTTTGTTCTTTAACCATCTCCCAATTGACCAATTCCTACCACTTGAAGTGCTCTGTAATTACTTCTAGCTACTACCATAACAACTCAAACATTTGAACAAACTTCCAAAAATTAAAAAAAAAAAAAGGGTTTGCTTGCACTATTATTCTCCTCTTCATTTTCATTATTTTTATATTAATAACTTTTTCGTACCCATCAAATGTAATGATTATCTAAGCAAATAATATTAAAATAAACTGTTTTGTAGGTGAAATTGACTAATAACCATTTAAGTGACATGTAATTAATTGAAAAAATGTCTTAAGCGATATACTAATATAGTCTTTAATAGTATGACTTTGACATCGCAATTTTGAAAAGCTTGCTTCAATTATATTTTTCAGAAGAGGTAATGGCTAACAACTCCTTTGCGTTGTGGGCTTGTGGCCCGATATAAAAATAACGAGAAACTGTGACATATGCATGACGCAGGATCAAATGCAACCGACGTTTCCAATCCAAGATATTTGTTGCTTCGATGTTCTTACGTCGCTGACGTGGACCAATTACGATGGAGATCAAAGAGGATGCACACGGGACGAGACACAGGATATCAATCCACCCTGGTTTACCTACCGCAACCTGCGGGCCGACGCATTGCTGAGGTGTCCATGTCTTGATGAAGCTCTATTTTGAACCTCACCTGTTTATATATAACATAGCTTGAGTGGATTCCCCACAATCCCAACTTTCTTCTGTAGAGACAGGCTCAAAGAGAATTGATCAATTGAAAATGGGTAGCCTTGAAACTGAGAGAACAACTACGGGATGGGCAGCCAGAGACCCATCAGGGACCTTGTCTCCTTACACTTACACTCTTAGGTATCCTCAATTTCGCTACTTTGTTTTTGGTTTTAAGGCTCATTTCTGGTTCTTGCGTGATGGTTAATGAAATATCTTTGTTCTGTCTATGATGATAATAATTGCAGGAACACAGGTCCAGATGATGTTTTTGTCAAGGTTATCTGCTGTGGAATCTGCCACACTGATCTTCATCAAGCCAAAAATGATCTTGGCATGTCAAACTACCCGATGGTTCCTGGGTACTTAAAAACCCTCTCCGTTACTATTGCCAAGACTCTTTCTTTATGTTCATGTTTATGATTCTTGATGCCCCTTGCTCCTTTGGCACTGTGATTTATTAATTTGGTTTACAGGCATGAAGTGGTTGGTGAGGTGGTGGAAGTGGGGTCAGATGTAACCAAGTTCGCAGTTGGAGAAATTGTTGGCGTTGGTTGTGTTGTTGGATGTTGCAGGAACTGCCGATCATGCGACACAGACAATGAACAATACTGCCTCAAGAAGATCTGGTCGTATAATGATGTCTACACTGATGGCAAACCCACTCAGGGTGGCTTTGCTGGCTCCATGGTCGTTGATCAAAAGTAAGAATCACAAGTCCAAAACAGTACTTGATCATAAACAGTACTTGATCATAAACAGTACTTGTTTTGCATAACAATATTGCTGAAATGACTTTATCCAATTACCCGGTTTCTTAATTGCTCAAGCTTCTAGAAAAGCCAGCTTAATTTTTCTGGTGAAACTAAGTATTTGATATAAATTGATGAAATACACTTTGGATACACGAGTGCTTGTAGGTACTGCTTGAGATAATTAAATTATTATTTTTAAAAAAATTATCACCTTAACCGATGCTACTAGACACTTGTTAATATTTCCCGCGTAGTTATATTTTAGTAGCTAACGGTCTATTAAATATCAAGAATTGTGTGCCTTTATCTTGTGGAATTATTTCGTCGGGGCTTTTTTTTTTCCTGGTAAATGAACTTATTTGTTGGGATCTTTTAGGTTTGTGGTGAAAATCCCTGATGGAATGGCAGCGGAACAGGTGGCACCACTGTTATGTGCTGGGGTGACAGTTTACAGCCCGCTGAGGCACTTTGGTTTAATGGGGAGTGGGTTAAGGGGAGGGATATTGGGTCTCGGAGGAGTAGGGCACATGGGGGTGAAGATGGCAAAAGCCATGGGACATCATGTAACTGTTATAAGCTCTTCTGATAAGAAAAAAGTAGAGGCCTTGGAGCATCTAGGTGCTGATGAGTATTTAGTCAGTTCTGACACTGAAGGGATGCAAAAGTCTGCTGATTCCCTTGACTATATCATCGATACTGTGCCTGTTTTTCACCCTCTTGAACCTTATCTCACATTATTGAAAGTCGATGGAAAGCTGATCTTGACAGGTGTTATTAACACACCTCTTCAGTTTGTTAGCCCCATGATCATGCTTGGTGAGTCAAATCTCTCAAAATTTATTCAATGTTATAGTATTAATCTTTTTGGGTTTTGAATTGAAAAATGATCAGTAGCAATTGAGTCTGAATTTCTGGTTCCTGAGGTTTGTAAATTAATGCTTTTCATGTAGGTGCTCTGTCTCTTGCTTTGGCAATAGCGTTTGTATTTTCCTGAGTCTAAAGCCTATTTCTCTGTTTTTTGCTCTGTCCAATATTATATAGGGAGGAAGTCAATTACTGGGAGCTTCATCGGGAGCATGAAGGAAACAGAGGACATGCTTAAGTTATGTAAAGAGAAAGGTTTAACCTCAATGATTGAAGTGGTGAAGATGGATTACATCAACACAGCTATGGAGAGGCTTGAGAAGAACGATGTTCGATACAGGTTCGTCGTGGATATTGCCGGAAGCAAGCTTGATCAATAGGGGAAAAAGGAAACTTCTTTTTCTAAACATTACATATTTCATCAACAATTAAAAGAGTGACTGTGTTTTACGCGTGTCAGCTGTCTCTGTTTGTTGTTTAAATGAAACGAGTATGAATTCCTTGTTTCTCTGCCTATGGGAATAAAAATGAAAATGAATATGAGGTGTTATCTTCCTCCTCTTTTCTCTTTCAGTTGAAATTTATAACTTACCCACTAGAATAATTGAGCAAGATCGTTTGTGGTGACCTGTCCACTAAAGTAGGTCGTGGGTGCCTGGATTCTTGACTGACAGTGAAACGTGACCTAACTGGGCCAGGGTAGGACAAGCGTCCACATTGGGATTAGGAAGCCCCTTTTGTTGACATATTTTAGGCACTTGGCTTTCAACCAGGGCTGTGAAAGTCTTTTTCAATGGTTGGTATACTTTGATGGTACCATTCATGTTTGGCTTCCTGTTGTTATATACGAAATTTGTCTGTACACAGGCCCTGAACTGTACACTTTAGGCATTTTGTACCTTAAACCCCGTGCGACGTCAAGCATGGGAGAGATGGGAGGTGGGCTCAAAACGTCTGGCAATAATGGAAAGGAAAAGTAGAATGCCATTTGTAGAAGGAAGCAGCTCAACCGGTGAATCTTTAGTCATGGACAAGGCCACATAACTCAGAAAGGAGTTGCAGGCAATGGCAGGGACTTGTTTATTTCTGATTCATGGTCATAAATATTACACTCCCTTGAAGGATTAATCATGAATTCCCCCTCAGTTCTTCAATAAAACTCATACCGTCCACACTAATATTATAAACATAATCAGGGGGTTGTAGCTGCATTATATCACTTGATCCCACTCAAATTTCAGATTCCATCTGCAATATATGTATTAGTGTAGGGAAAATGTTAAAATTGATCTCACTACAAAATAAATTTGAAGATCAATTTATAATATAAAGACAAAAATTGGGGTCAATGATATATGATTAGTAGAAAGTAAGGATCACATATTTGGCTTTTATTCCAAAGGAATTAGCGGACAAAATATTAGCGAAGACAAGGTTTTATTTATTCACTATTTTAATAGGGGATAGTTTGATAAATGATTTTGATTTTCTAAACAATTATATAATATTTTTAAAATATGAAAATTCATTATGAAAATTGTAAAATAATATCTTTATATAAATATTTTTGTTTTTCTATTTTCATTTTACTTTTTTTTTTCTAGTGATATTGTTATTATTTAAAGATCATGTATGAAAAAGATTTATGTTCATATATTTGTGTATAATCAAAGATAATACTCTTTAAGTCGTATTTTATATGATTTTTTTTTATTTTCATAAAAATTATGAAAAGATATTGACTTTAATATATTTCACGTTTAAAATTTAAAATGTTTTTAAAAATTGATAGTCCATGATTTTTAATATAAAAGTGTATAAGAATAATAAAAAATAAATTTAGATTAGAGAAAAAAATGTATTAAGTGTTTGGAATAAAAAAGTAAATCTAAAAAAATAAACAAAGAAAAGGTTAGAGGTGGCCAAACTAGGCATGTTCATTCTTCGAAGCACGAACCAATTAAAGGAGAAACAGAAATAGACCAAAGAAAAATAATTTTATAAATTATCTCTATTTACTCAAATTCAGGTAACAAGAATCAATTAAACATGAGATAATTATAGACCAAAGAAAAACAATTTGATAAATTATCTCTATTTATTTAATTTGCGTAAGTATTAGATATCACTAGTCCATATTTTTAATACAAAATACATATATGTTAAGTAAAAAAAATTATAATTTATAAATCCAAGACAAGTATATATATGTCTATGTAAATATTAAAAAAAAGAAATTTTTTTAAAATTAGCATTAATAAAATTTTATTTAAGATCAATGTGCCTCAGAAAAATTAAATGGATTGATTATATTATTAATGGAAAAAAAATTACTAAAAAAATTAATTATAAAAATTTTACATCTCAAAAAATTAGAATAATAAAATTTTAATAAAACATTTAATAATATTTTATTTTTAATTTAAATAAAAGAAATTTCATTTGAATATTTCGTTTGAAGACTAACCGCTCCTACTTTTACATGTGGGATAAGTGACATTATGTCCATATTTAGTTCGGACACGAGTGCATTCAACTTTTTATAAATTTGTTCAAATATTTAAAAGGTTAGATCTTCCTATCATGTCGGTTAGCATTTTATGCTGGGGCTGAATGTCCCTGTTCTGTGAACTATAAAACCAGTATTGTTGTTGGCTCTTCCTCTCTCCCATACAGAACTGCATTGTTAAAAGAACCTTAAGCACTAAACGAGGGCGCAGCTCTAAACATGGAGAGGAGCACAATGGGATGGGCGGCACAAGACGCGTCGGAAATTCTCTCGCCTTATACCTACACCCTTAGGTAATATATCATTGCTTTACGAACATACCTTCAAAATTCGTCGTTATCCTTCTCCATTTGACATGCCAGGTAAATATATGTCCATGGAATTTGTCCCTAATCTTGAAAAATAAAATAAAATAAAATAAAATTGCAGAAACACTGGAGCAGAGGACATTTTCCTTAAAGCTCTCTATTGTGGAGTTTGTCACACTGATATACACAAGACCAGAGGCCAAGGCAATCACGTGACAAGCTACCCGATGGTTTCCGGGTACATTTACGTTTGGCTTCGTCTACGTGAATGAAAGATTATACTAGTATATTTTTTCACTCAGGCTCTAAATTAAGCTCCTAACTCTTGGGTTTCATTAAATTTTCTTCCACCCTAGCCATGAAGTGGTAGGTGAAGTGATGGAAGTGGGTGCAGATGCGACCAAGTTTATTGTCGGAGACCATGTTGGAGTCGGATATTTTGTCGGAAGCTGTGGTACATGCCTGGCATGCGAAATGAGTCAAATGCTCGGTTGCTTTCACTGGTGGTGCTTTTACTTGCAAGTGCTTTTACTTAAGGATTGAATCTCGTTTCTCTGATTATACAGAGAGAAGGTCCATAGTGGGGAGCCTCACAGGGAGGGTGAAGGAAACAGAGGAGTTGCTTGAATTCTGGAAAGAAAAGGGGTTGAGCTCAATGATTGAAATAATCAAGATGGACTACATCAACACAGCTATCCATAGGCTGGAACAGGCCGATGTTAGATACAGGTAGGCAGCTGTAATAATAATAGATACTCTAATCAGTATTTATTGCAAGCTTAAATAATAATAGGCACTCTAGTAAATAAGGTGAATGAAAGTTCGCGGTGGTGGTCATTTTGTGTCCTGAACCTAAATAAATAATGTACTTTCCAGAGTCCAGATTGTTACGTTGAGGAATGGAGATTGTGGAATCTATCAAGCATTTCAACAACTAATAAATATGTGATTGCAGTTATTTGCTTAAAACCCTCCGGTTGAATGCTTCGTTGCTTTCCGAATACAAACTGTTAGCAAATACACAGTGCATCATCCGCGGTAGAAAACTATACGACAGTTAAGAAATCCAGCTTTTACACCCGATGCACCAAACTCATTTCAAGTAGCTCCATGACAAGCAAAGCAATTGTTTTACAAAGCTCGTCATCATACGGAGAAATTATTGTCATCTAAAAACTGCCCACGAGAATTCTAGGATATGGCAAATACATGTTACACACATACGTGCAGATCCCATCAGGTATGATTATTTTTTGATAGAACAAAATATTATATTAATAAAGAAAACAAAGAGATTCGGTGAGGGTCAAAATCATTACATTTCAATAGCTCCATTTGATCAATCATCTTTGATCACTGAAAAATCATTTTCTAACCTAACTTCATTTGGTTCTGACTTCTGCTCCAGATGGTAAGAAAAGAAAAACATATGAAGAAGGCTACAAAGCCTCCTTCAGGTTGAGGTGCTCGCTTCACCCTTTCTCTCCTTTTCTCCTTTTTGCTGCATTTTCTCCCTTTGGACCTCTAACATCCATCGCATTCTCCAAACTAGTCACTCATCTTACAATTCGTGCTATTCTGAAGGGTTAGACAATTCATAACCTTTGGCTAAAGTATATGTTCATAAAATATCTTGAAGGATTGAAGCCACCTAAAATCACTGCAGGCCAAAAGAAGTTTAATTTCAGCTACAATCCCCATTCAAACACAGAATCAGATATCAAGCTGAACACTTACAGATAGGAGAGAGAACAATTACGACTCCAATTGGGTAGAGAAAAAATGTTGTTCTCTCCAAAAAGGGAAGTACTGCAGCACATTATAGATATGTCAATTCTTGAAGGTAATAATTAGGCAATTAGCCATTTCTTCACGAAGTTTCATACCAAAAAAAAAAAACAAGGACAAACCATTCACCAAACATGTAAAAGGGAACAGCTATCAAAATGAGCTTACCGTCATAACCTAAAAAGTTGAGGTAGTGATAGTAAGAAGCTGCCACCATGAAAAGCAGATTTGACAGCAGTACAGGTATAAAACCATGGGCTACCAGAAGAGGTGACAGAAAATAATGTATTACTGCCAAAAACCACAACATTAGTCGCATCTTGATCCATTTATTATTGAAATTATAAATAAAAGAGCCAAACAGGCATTAACCATAAAATTACCGTAAAGCATTACAAACATTGGGAAGAAAGAATTGCAGTGCACATCAAATGCATACAGCCTTCAAACAAAAGGAAACCCAGTTAGCACCGCACAATTATGAATATACTAACAACTACAAGCTACCTGCCGCTAGAGATAATAAAAGTTGAATGTATTGATGAACCAAATCTATCATTTAACAATTAAACCAACACAAACGGCTCAGACATAGATATATTAAAATTCTGGAAAGTTAGGAATAAGTCTCCAGACTTGCCATTCAACCCGTTGTTCAACCACATGACTGTTTGGAGCCTCTTCCCGAAGGTAAGCATTTGTTAGGGACCTGCATAAAGTCAGGGAATGGAATTCACCATCAAACAAGTATACTTGTATGTAACATGCAAAGCCTACTAAGATGAATGTATTCATACATAACTGCAGCCTTTATGCACACAAGCTAAATAAAAAAGCTATAAAAATCAAGCAGCAAAGTACTCCAGGCATACTTGTTCTTTCAACCAGTTCAGGACATTCAACCACAAAAGTATAAATTTTGATTTGGACAACAATGGTAGTGTTAGGGCGCCTTGCATCTACTAGAGCATAAAGTTTGCTATTTTTGTATCTTTACATTTGTATTAGAAGCTTGCAGCATTCTCATGTACATTCTTACTGTTGTCTTGCTGTTCCTTTTAAACTGTTTCTTATAGGAATGATGTTATGCAAATAACTTAATATATAAAGGGTATAGCCTCCACTTAAAGGCGAATCAATTTAGACTTTTGGCTATCAATTCCTTGGATCTCTAAAGGGTTTAAGCCCAGAGAATAATTCCTAGCAAAATGTAATGGCAAGCTTGATCTTCCTCCTCTAGCAACATTAATGTCTTCTAGACTATGAACCACTACCAGGTCTATTCCACAACCAAAACTAAGTTCCCCAAACCATAAACCACATTTCAGAAAGAGTGAAAAACCTATAGCATTCTGCTCCAACCTCAAACCCATTTAAAAGAACCATCATGGCATCATGTATTATATAAGTTCTTCCACCCTTTGTAATAAGACATTTTCTTAAGTAGAGCTTGGAAGTCCACATATCAATGTTATAGATTATATTTCTGCCAACCAACCCATCTTTGCTCATTTTTGAAACAATTTACATGTTTGAATGAATATTAAACATCAACCTCTGAAAAGATGCGTTTCAGAGTATGCAGATGATACTAGATTCAAATTTGTAGCTATAGAATATGAAGGACATTACACTAGAGAGTAATTATTGTCATTTGCACTCAATCAAGTAATTGTTTATTCTAGTTAACGAAATAATCAACTAATAAGAACCACTAAAATTTTACTTTTCAAAAAAGAATTACAAACCACTAAAAGAATTTCATTGTGTTAGATACTAAATTAGATTCTGCTGATCAAAGAACCAAATACAACACAATGCTACCATGCTTTGGTGATAAAGCCATGAATAAATAACACAGCACTGCACAGAAAGCAACTGGGCATTCAAAAAGATCGACAGGCACTAGCTAAACTTATGCAGCTTCAGAATTTATATGACCAGCAAATACACAACAATTAAAGTCACTTTTGACATAACTGGAAGTTAAGATATAGTTTTTAAGAGATACTAGCTCTAGTTCAAAAAACAAACGAGATACTGGCTCTTACCAACAAGAAGTAGCCAGAAATACCCCAGCAAGTAAAAAATGGAAAAGCAATACTGAAATAACTACAAAAACAGCATGAGCAGCACTATGATCATACCTGCATTAAAGAGAAGACAGCAAAGAAGCCTATATCAGCACATTAAGTGACCAGGTCCATAAAAGATTTGACCGTTCAAAAGAAAAGGCAAAAGTAAAAGAATTCCAATATATTAGTACATTATTTGGGCCATGATATTACTTGGAAGAACTTAGCAATCTCACAATGCAGCACTGCATCATGATGCTTATGACTACAAATTATCGAGAACATTTATAAGTCCAACATAAAGAAATTCTACAGAAGAAAGATCCCATATCAGTTATAAGCACCATAAGAATGTCCATTCTTAGGATTAATTAGATTTGAATATAAGACAAATTTTAAATCTAGCTGAGGCCCCATCTTAATCTAAGGGCACAGACTGCTTTTAAATTACTACTATGTACTAATTCATTTTGTTATATGTAGCCATGCTTGCAAGTGAAAAAGAAACTTACGCGGCACAATAAGCTACTGCTGCAACTGCCAAAAGAAGACTACAGATCACAACAAAAGCAGGGTCGTCACGTGCCCACTGGTTCTTGGTTTCTGAACCAAAAGACAGATAAACAATTTTTCAAGTTCATGACATAATGGAAAGAATTTAATAATTTCACCCTTTTAACAAGTTCATGGACTTAAACTTTAAAACAAAGGAAAAAGAAAAAAAACTATTTTACTCATTAATTTAAAAGCTATATGAATTGCCTAGTACCCTAAGTCTTACTGACTTACTGTGCTTTCAAAATAAAAGTGACCCAAAAAGCTCACAACACTTCCCAACCACATTCACATTCAGTACCAACCAAATAGGCCTCCATGATTTTTGATACTTCTAATTGGTAGTGTTATTCTCATATTATGCAAGTCAAACTATTATATGCAAAGCACCAAACTTTTTTGTACCTTTGTATAAACAATGCCACTGATATAAGCATTCATTTACAATGGATTTTACTATTACAGCCCATAGATAATAGAATTTCCACACTTCAGGAAGAAACTGAGGAAGAAAGACATTTAAATGATATATTCTGAACTATTGAATTCATCGTATCAAGGAAAGAATGTTTAAAGAGAAAAGAAAGCTTATAACAAATTATTATGAAAGGGGAAAGAAAACACTCAGAAGGCTACATGACGAGAACCTAATGGAAAAAGACAATCATGATTCCATGAAGTCAATGTCCAGGTAAATTACAAACTGAAACAAAATAAATAGGCTTCTAGGAACAAAAGCAGTAGCATGCCTTGATCAACAACATAACTCCTCCAACTTGACATAAACAGATAAAAATAAACAAAACATTCATTGACCAGAAGTGAACTCACGTTTGTGATACTTTGTGTGCTGATAGCTGCATCCACCACAGAAATTAATATGCAAAATAAAACAAAATTAATTAGAAAAGTACATTTCCACACTCAAAAGACTGTTTTTTCAGCAGATAATCCGTTTCATTCCTTCCCCTAATAAAGCCCCCGAAAAGACTAATGGTAAGTAAGTATATTTAAGAATATCTGAAACTGTATATAAAGGAAGCAACAAGAATTAAAAATCAGTCAGCAACTTAGAAAAGTGAAATGCTGCAATAAAGAATTGGTGTGTTAGTATAGATACTTCTCTTCTGTCCCGAAATTATATGGATCTAGAATATAAAACCAGTTGATGATGATAGTATGGGACAATGAGAAACAAGTGGATTGATGACAATGAGTGAATACTTACACGACCTTTGGTGCGGTACAGAGGTGAAGCATTTGCCAGAATGTGTATTCAATATCCATTTGTTGCCACTACAAGAACAAATAGAGGAAAAAGAAACATGATGAGATAAACCAACCATATCCAGCAAAGATGCTGATGATAAAACGTAATGGTAAGGACCCCATACATCCTAGGCCAAGCTAACTACATACTTAGTTTCATTGGACGTTCAACAAGATGGCTGCTAGAATTTAACACAATAATTCTTAGAATACAGAATTTTGAAAATTTTCACATTATATGACTTGCTATTTAATTTGAAGAGTGAGGTGATGGAAAATCAACTGCTTAGATGTAGCTATACCAGAGGCATACATCCAAATCCAGGTGAAATGATTAACAAAATATAAAATGGACAAAGAATTCACATTCAACATAAAATCACTTAGGAAGTTTAGACTGCTGAAAACTTTAAAAATGATCCCGGTGAGTACTTAACTTTAACTTGGCAAAGACACATATCAAATTCAAAAGTCAAAGTATTAATTTGATTAGAAAAATATAGCAGAACAATTTTGAGATTCAAGGAGAAACGATCCAGGTTGTTGTTACTTGAACATTTTACCAGGAGGAAACTCATGAACCGAAAATGGATCCACAGTCTTATTATTCAAATGTTACGTTATTCTCATCTCATTACTTCTCCAAAACTGAAATTAGAACTGAATTGTGGATTTCACACATTAACCACTTCTCTCTTATCATTTCCAAAACTTAAGTCTACTCCTTGATGCCAGACATTACCGGCCACTAAATCCTAAAACTGAAACAATAATAATGAATATATTAGGAGGTAAAATTGCGAATTCCATCAAGCACTAGAGCTAAGAGAAGTCATGAACCGACAGCTAAAACGGATAAAATCTACAAGTTCTATTCCTAATTGGATCATGATTCGAATATAGATAGATATTAGATAAAAATGAAGATCAGATCCAGCGAGAGAGAGATTGGACCTTGACAATTCGACGGAGGTACTGAGGGAACATGGGATTAGGTCGAGATGTGGAGGACGACGGACGCGTTTTGCTGACCGTTGGTAACATCTCTTATTCGTCTTGTTGTTCGATTTGCTTCGTTGATCGAAAGATCTGTTGGTATTGGGATCCTTCTCTTTTTTACCCTTTTTTCTTTACAGCTCTGACTCTCTCACTCGAAATGAGAAGACGGAAGCGTAAAAACGACGACGGCTCTCTCTCTGTCTCTCTCTCTGTAGCTCGTTCTCGCTCTGACGGGTCACCAACCTGCCCCTGCCTAATTGTCTATACGTTAACATGGACCGATTTCGGGCTCAGTGAACCAAACCTTATAAAATCCGTTTTCCATTATGACCTCCCCGGGTTTCGATGAATTCGACTTGGGTTATAAGCCCACGGGCTTCAAAGGAAAAATATTACAA